TCTACTTCTTACATGTTGAACACAAATACCTGTACTTTCTACTCTTACATGTTGAACACAAATACCTGTACTTTCTACTTCTCACTGTTGAACCAAATACCTGTACTTTCTACTTCTTACATGTTGAACACAATACCTGTACTTTCTACTTCTTACATTTTGAACACAAATACCTGTACTTTCTACTTCTCACATGTTGAACACAAATACCTGTACTTTCTACTTCTTACATGTTGAACTCACAATACCTGTACTTTCTACTTCTTACATTGAACACAAATACCTGTACTTTCTACTTCTTACATGTTGAACCAAATACCTGTACTTTCTACTTCTTACATGTTGAACACAAATACCTGTACTTTCTACTTCTACATGTTGAACCCAAATACCTGTACTTTCTACTTCTACATGTTGAACCAAATACCTGTACTTTCTACTCTTACATGTTGAACCAAATACCTGTACTTTCTACTTCTTACATGTTGAACTCAAATACCTGTACTTTCTACTCTTACATGTTGAACCCAAATACCTGTACTTTCTACTTCTTACATGTTGAACACAAATACCTGTACTTTCTACTTCTTACATGTTGAACCAAATACCTGTACTTTCTACTTCTTACATGTTGAACTCAAATACCTGTACTTTCTACTCTTACATGTTGAACACATACCTGTACTTTCTACTTCTTACATGTTGAACCAAATACCTGTACTTTCTACTTCTTACATGTTGAACCCAAATACCTGTACTTTCTACTTCTTACATGTTGAACACAAATACCTGTACTTTCTACTTCTCACATGTTGAACACAAATACCTTTACTTTCTACTTCTTACATGTTGAACCCAAATACCTGTACTTTCTACTTCTTACATGTTGAATCCAAATACCTGTACTTTCTACTTCTTACATGTTGAACACAAATACCTGTACTTTCTACTTCTTACATGTTGAACACAAATACCTGTACTTTCTACTTCTTACATGTTGAACCAAATACCTGTACTTTCTACTTCTTACATGTTGAACCAAATACCTGTACTTTCTACTTCTTACATGTTGAACACAAATACCTGTACTTTCTACTTCTTACATGTTGAACCAAATACCTGTACTTTCTACTTCTACATGTTGAACCCAAAATACCTGTACTTTCTACTTCTTACATGTTGAACACAAATACCTGTACTTTCTACTTCTTACATGTTGAAACCAAATACCTGTACTTTCTACTTCTTTACATGTTGAACCAATACCTGTACTTTCTACTTCTTACATGTTGAACAACAATACCTGTACTTTCTACTTCTTACATGTTGAACACAAATACCTGTACTTTCTACTTCTACATGTTGAACACAAATACCTGTACTTTCTACTTCTTACATGTTGAACCAAATACCTGTACTTTCTACTTCTTACATGTTGAACACAAATACCTGTACTTTCTACTTCTTACATGTTGAACACAAATACCTGTACTTTCTACTTCACTCTACATGTTGAACCAAATACCTGTACTTTCTACTTCTTACATGTTGAACACAAATACCTGTACTTTCTACTTCTTACATGTTGAACACAATACCTGTACTTTCTACTTCTACATGTTGAACACAATACCTGTACTTTCTACTTCTTACATGTTGAACTCAAATACCTGTACTTTCTACTTCTTACATGTTGAACTCAAATACCTGTACTTTCTACTTCTTACATGTTGAACTCAAATACCTGTACTTTCTACTTCTTACATGTTGAACACAAATACCTGTACTTTCTACTTCTTACATGTTGAACACAAATACCTGTACTTTCTACTTCTTACATGTTGAACACAAATACCTGTACTTTCTACTTCTTACATGTTGAACTCAAATACCTGTACTTTCTACTTCTACATGTTGAACAAATACCTGTACTTTCTACTTCTTACATGTTGAACCAAATACCTGTACTTTCTACTTCACATGTTGAACCAAATACCTGTACTTTCTACTTCTCACATGTTGAACTCAAATACCTGTACTTTCTACTTCTTACATGTTGAACACATACCTGTACTTTCTTCTTCTACATGTTGAACTCAAATACCTGTACTTTCTACTTCTCACATGTGAACCAAATACCTGTACTTTCTACTTCTACATGTTGAACTAAATACCTGTACTTTCTACTCTTCTCATGTTGAACTTAAATACCTGTACTTTCTACTTCTCACATGTTGAACTCAAATACCTGTACTTTCTACTTCTTACATGTTGAACTCAAATACCTGTACTTTCTACTTCTCACATGTTGAACTCAAATACCTGTACTTTCTACTTCTCTTACATGTTGAACTTAAATACCTGTACTTTCTACTTCTCACATGTTGAACTCAAATACCTGTACTTTCTACTTCTTACATGTTGAACTCAAATACCTGTACTTTCTACTTCTTACATGTTGAACTTAAATACCTGTACTTTCTACTTCTTACATGTTGAACTCAAATACCTGTACTTTCTACTTCTTACATGTTGAACTTAAATACCTGTACTTTCTAATTCTTACATGTTGAACTTAAATACCTGTACTTTCTACTTCTCACATGTTGAACTCAAATACCTGTACTTTCTACTTCTCACATGTTGAACCCAAATACCTGTACTTTCTACTTCTTACATGTTGAACTCAAATACCTGTACTTTCTACTTCTCACATGTTGAACTCAAATACTTGTACTTTCTACTTCTCTCATTTTCCAAACAGCTGGTTCCTTTAGTCTGAATGTGTGTTTGATGCGTGATCATTATTCTTTAGTCATTGCGTGCCTATTGATTTGAACACGATCCGTGTATCCATCATTTCCTGGTCTTCTCTAAAGAAGAGGGACCAATGCAAACGTTGTCATGTTGCCGTTGTTCAGCATGGAAACATTCATTAGCTAACAATGACATTATTGTTCTATTGATATAAAGGGAGGTCAGGTACTCTTTAAAGCAGCTGCTAGTTATGGGTACTTTTTACTGAAGGACATTTCAAAGTTTAGTCAGTACTTCTACTTTTACCAGAGTATTTTTAAACACGAGTCTCTGTACTTCTACCTGAGTAAAGGATGTCTGTACTTTTGCCATCTCTGATAATTCATCATCATGCATGCTGTGCTTTAACACAGGTGAAGGGAAAGGTGGCTGTGAAGAGATGCATTAACATCGAGACTGCATGTCGCCTTATTCTCCATTCATTTGATTTGTTTGTAATAGTTTTTGCTTCACCTCATTTCAATCCTCGCTCAGATTGAACCCCAAGAGATCAAGATCTGAGCCTGGAGTCACTTTGGCTCGAAATGAAACTGGAAACAATATTAGTTTTAGTCTTATTTCCTTTATTTCACTCACCGATGAGGCCCACGTAGGCCATGAGGCAGCCGTGGAAGTGTTCGTTGGGGCAGCTGGTGACGCTGTGGGGCGTCGGCCGGCAGTTCATGTGGTAGTCAGCGAGACGAGACCTGAAGACACACGGAAACACTTTCAGTATTAAAGTGGAAAATCTTATATTGGTTAATGTCTCTGGTTTTTCTCATGCTTTGTCAACACTGCAATTATTTTTTTTATCTTATTTTGTTTTAATTCAATTTTAAAATATACATTTTTTTTTGTGCTATAAATATTATTATTAATTTTCCTTATCCTTATTTTATTTTTTTATATTTCAGAGTCCTTATTGAATTTCGCTTTATTGTTATTATATATATTTTTATTTATTCCATCCATCTTCTTCCGCTTATCCGTGGTCGGGTCGCGGGGGTAGCAGTTCCAGCAGAGAGCCCCAAACTTTATTTTCCCTGGCGACATCAACCAGCTCTGACTGGGGGATCCCAAGGCGCTCCCAGGCCAGCGAAGAGATATAATCCCTCCACCTGGTCCTAGGTCTACCCCTTGGTCTCTTCCCAGCTGGACGTGCCTGGAACACCTCCCTAGGGAGGCGCCCAGGTGGCATCCTAACTAGGTGCCCGAACCACCTCAACTGGCTCCTTTCGACGCGAAGGAGGAGCGGCTCAACTCCGAGTCCCTCCCTGATGACCGAACTTCTCACCTTATCCCTAAGGGAGACACCAGCCACCCTGCGGAGAAAACCCATCTCGGCCGCTTGTATCCGCTTGTATTTTTATTTATTTACCTTTTTTATTTGATTTAATATGATATTGTATTTCACATTTTCTATATTTTTCTATTTATCATTTGAATCTACCGTCACAAAAATGTGTAGCATCTTCCTAAAACCCGATCTAACACAGATGATCTCTCTGACAGTTTGAGAGTCTGCAGGTCCTGCTGTTTCCACAGACTCACAGCAGATCATCTCCTGTCTTCTGCCTCTCTGTGTTTCTCTGCTTTCATTCCTGCGCCTCATTTTCTCTATTTTATATGAATATTTGTAAGAAAGTAGTGTTTGTTATTATTAAAATAATAATTTTTTAAATGTCACAGGACCTATGACTCCAATTCGATACAGAATTGTATTGTGTACAGTGGTGTGTGTGTGTGTGTGTGTGTGTGTGTATGACACATTCACAGCTCACTGTGAGTGTTTGTGTTTCCTTGTCTGTCGGCTGCAGCGAATGATAAAGTGTGACAGGCGGAGTGATGCTCTTTTGACTTTCCCACAGGGGTCAGTGTGTGTGTCATGTTTGAGTCATCCTGCCAACGATGTCAGCTTGAGACAAAAGAAAGAACGATAACCTGCAGCGACACACAAACACTTTCCTCCAGTGTCTCTCCGACTGTGTTTATATAAAGTGCAAACACACTTATACACACACACACACACACACACACACACACACACACACACACACACACACACACACACACACACACACACACACACACACACATTAACAGGAGGCAGTGAATCCAAAGGTTGTGGAGTGTTTTCTAAGATTTGTCAGCGACTTAAAGGCCAAATCTACGGTGGCCATCGAGGACAAAAGGTTTGAAGCGTTTTATTATTGAATTCTTAATGATTTATAAGAGCTGTATTCTGGATGCCATGATATCAGATCATTGCGGGTATATGTACATCGTTACAACAAAGGGACAGTGCAGATAAAGACAAAATAAAGAGTAGGCCAACATATTTAATAAAGCGGCAAGCATGTTATTAAAAATAATAATAAGAAGAAAGTAAGAATCAGCATTTTAATGTAAGTGAATATATAAATGTAATGGAGTAGCAGCATGTTATAACAGTTTTAAAATTAAGGACAATTTATTACACGGCTTAGTTGAATACTCGATTTTGATTGGTCAATTTGGACATCTCAGAGTTTGTTAATACTCGCTAACAGACTGTTGCTAAGGGGAACAGACCATTACTAAGGAGAAGAGAACATACTGTTACTAAGGAGAACAGACCGTTGCTAAGGAGAAGAGAACAGACCGTTACTAAGGAGAACAGACCGTTGCTAAGGAGAAGAGAACAGACCGTTACTAAGGAGAACAGACCGTTGCTAAGGAGAAGAGAACAGACCGTTACTAAGGAGAACAGACCGTTGCTAAGGAGAAGAGAACAGACCGTTACTAAGGAGAACAAACCATTGCTAAGGAGAAGAGAACAGACCGTTACTAAGGAGAACAGACCGTTGCTAAGGTGAACAGACCGCTGCTAAGGAGAAGAGACCGTTGCTAAGGAGAAAAGACTGGGAACAGACCGTTGTTAAGGAGAACAGACCGTTACTAAGGAGAACAGGCCATTGGTCAGGAGAACAGACCGTTGCTAAGGAGAAGAGAACAGACCGTTGCTAAGGAGAAGAGAACAGACCGTTACTAAGGAGAACAAACCATTGCTAAGGAGAAGAGAACAGACCGTTACTAAGGAGAACAGACCGTTGCTAAGGTGAACAGACCGCTGCTAAGGAGAAGAGACCGTTGCTAAGGAGAAAAGACCGGGAACAGACCGTTGTTAAGGAGAACAGACCGTTACTAAGGAGAACAGGCCATTGGTCAGGAGAACAGACCGTTGCTAAGGAGAAGAGAACAGACCGTTACTAAGGAGAACATACCGTTGCTAAGGAGAAGAGAACAGACCGTTACTAAGGAGAACAAACCATTGCTAAGGAGAAGAGAACAGATGAGAACAGACCGTTGCTAAGGTGAACAGACCGCTGCTAAGGAGAAGAGACCGTTGCTAAGGAGAAAAGACCGGGAACAGACCGTTGTTAAGGAGAACAGACCGTTACTAAGGAGAACAGGCCATTGGTCAGGAGAACAGACCGTTGCTAAGGAGAAGAGAACAGACCGTTGCTAAGGAGAGCAGACCGTTGCTAAGGAGAACAGGCCATTGGTCAGGAGAACAGACCGTTACTAAGGAGAGCAGACTGTTGCTAAGGAGAGCAGACTGTTGCTAAGGAGAACAGAATGTTGCTAAGGAAAACAGACCACTGCTAAGGAGGATCAAGGGACTGTGTGTGTTCAGATGAATGTCCTCCAGTGACGTCTCTGTAACTCGTTTGCTGAGTGTGTTTACATTTTCTTTTTTTATTTAGCGACACAGTCTGAGTTTGTTTCTGTGTTTTCTGTCTCCACTTCCTCTTCTGCCTCTGACACAGAAAGTCCTCATTCTGTAACAGCTGACCCACATAAGGTCTGATGTGGTCTAAAAATATAAATAATAGGACAGAAGAGGAGTGAGGGGATTTTGTGTTTTCTTTCAAACAGAGCTGCAGAAATAATCCCTGTTAAATATCTCAGGGCTCTTTAAAAAGTTCTCTCTGTTTTAATGAAACCAGCCGGACCGAGGAAATCTGCAGTGCTTTTCTGTCTCAGTGAGAACATCATCTGAGCTAATTGCAGGAAGTGAAGCAAGACGCAGGATTATGTGGAGGGCCTTTCTGTTATCAGCAGGTTTAAAACTGAAGACTCTGAGAACAACAAGACACCCGAGGGCACCGAGCCTTCGCAGCGGCTAGCCTCAGGCTCTGGAACACTCTGCCCCTTCATGTGAGGTCGGCCCGGACCCTGGGGGTTTTAAATCAACACTTAAGACTCACTTCTTCTCTCTGGCTTTTGTTTAATTATTTATTTATTTAGTTATCCACAGAATTGATACTATTTTTAATATTTTTAAATGTTATTAATATTATTGGGGTTTTATGGGGTTTCAGTTTTTTATAGTAGGCTGGAGGCGGGGAGAACTCAGAGAAGGTTCTGACTGGACTGACTGGTTGCTACGTCTGGTTGCTTGGAGCTGAGTTGGTATGACCCTGAATTAGATCAGAACATTTTAGAAATATGAGGAATAACCTCTTGGTTTTATAAACCGTTTTGTAATTACTTCTTCATCCATGTTTGGAACTCTGCTGGGTTTTCTTTTAAAACCCTAAACCCCCCCTTGGGGTTGGCCCCTCCCCTCTCCCTCTGCGGATCTAAGGTCCGGTAGAGGGGGATGGAGCACAGAGTCGCTTATCCAGGCGGGGGAGTGCATCTGACGAAGAGATAGGTTGTTGTGCTCTATCTCTGGTTCTTATCCTCCATGTTCACCCTGGACTAGAGGGAAAGCCTTCTCAGCTGTTTCCTCACTATATTCTTCCGACCCCGTTTACCTAGGAGAGTGTATTGACGTTGATTCGTTGGGCCTTTCCTCCTGTACTTGTTTGTTCCCCAGTTCTTTCCTTTAACTGAATCTAGGAGACGGCATTTAGGCCTCTCTACTTCCTTCTTTTGATTAGTTTAGTTTTTCAACCCCTTTCCCTTGAACTCATTTATACGGGAGAGTGCATCTACGTAGTCACGTTGTGCCTCTCGGCGTATACTTTGACTCTCTGTCTCTCTGGAGAGTGCTAGTACGTTGGATACGTTGGGCCTTTTCACTGTTGTCCCTCTTCACTAGTATCCCGTGTCCCCTCTTCATAATTTGGGTCTTCATAATTTCCACCCTATTCGAAGGTGATGGTGCCTTTTCTTTTCAATTTCTGGCTTTGTGTTTCTTCACCTCTTACTCGTTTAATATTTAGGAGAGTGCATTTCCGTAGTCACGTTGTGCCTCTCTTCCTCTGTTTCTGGCTGCTCTTTTCATAACCTTGTTTCTCTGAGAAGAGAAGAAGTACTATTCTAAAAGGAGCTGACACATGGTGTCTCTTCACTTGTACACTTGAGGGGTCAGAGTTCATATGGTGAGGGATTCCATGAGCGGTATGCGCCGGCCTGTGCCTTTACCTGGGACTTCTAATAGAACTGCTCGGGTCTTGATAGATTGAGTGGGGAAGTTCATGAGATCTTTCTAGAGGGTTATCAAGAATAACTTTTATCCAATGACCTTTCCCCTCTCTGTCTGTGTCTGTGTATTCTCTTGTTCCGATTAACCCAGCCAAATCTTTCTTCTTGTTTTGTATCTATATCTACGCCGGGATCCGGAGTCGAGGCTGATCCTCTTGCTGTAGTCCTGTGTCTTGGATCCTCTATCCTGAGTTCTGGATTAAGTCGTGGACTTCGGGTCGTGGCTGAACCT